TTTGAGGAAAACCAGACTCGAGCGCCAATATATAAATACTGTTCAGGATTCTACTGAAAAATACCTTTCCGATGGTATACTTGAGTGACTCCAGAGCGAGGAGTCACTAAAGTAAACAATTACCAAGATAACTGTCGAAGTTCCCCGAAGTTCAGAATAAATGGCAAAAGTCATTGAAGTTTAAAGTATATTTCAGTACATATTTAAGGCTGAAATTGGCGCTTTTGAGTACTTTCTACAACCGAGTCCCCAGCCTACTCAAAGCAGATATTTACGGATCGAATTACAAAGGTTACGGAGTGAGAAGTTTTCTTTCGTAGCTCTTGAGCAGTTCGAAGTTCGAGAAAATTATTGGTAGAAGTTTAGCGAAGTTCACCGAAGTTCAAGAAAACGTACACCGGAGTTCAGGCCTATTTCGCCTTGGGTCCGACTGTCTCGCCTGAGCGCGCGACGAGCGTGTCTCTTGTCCCTGCAGCTGCAGAGGGCTGCGCGGGGCGAGCACGGAGCGCTGCTGGGGCACCGCTGCTGTAGAGGCCACCACGGCCACAATGGGGCCACGTAGAAGCCGCATGTGTGTGCTCAGAGGGGGCCGCGGGAGATGAAGGGGTCGGACGGGAAAGGGGGGATCGTGAATAAAACACGACGGGAAGACCCTCTCTGCACACCGGCCCGCCCGGGCACGGCCCCGCCCCGCCTGCAGTGCGTGCGCGCCGCGCTGCATGCGCTATGTTGTTTATGGACGCGCCCCGCCCTCCGCTCCACCAGGACCATTTACACCTGGAAGGAGAAAAAAAGAGAACTGCGACAGAAACCTGAAAGCCTATATTTAACATCCAATAATTTTTCAACAAATCTTTCTTGTAGACAGATTGTAGAACTTACATTTAAATTTATGGGACTCCAAAAAAAATACGATTTTTTTAGAACCATATTTTTTTTTTATTGAAATATTTTTGACAGTGTATCGTTTACCTATCCATCCTGCCGAGCGCGCAGGTAGGGCAGGGCCGAGTGTCGGCTGGCAGGCCTGCCAAAACACTGGCCGCGCCGCCAGCAGCCACTGCCGCCTCTCTCATTTGCATACGGCCTGCTAGCGGGAGGGGGCGTGGGGGGCGTGGGGGACGGGTCAGTCGTGGGGGCAGTTGTGTGAGCGGGCGTGGGGGTGGCACCGCCGCCGCCTCTCCATGAAGCTCTGCCCGCAGCAAACGCCGTGCACGCCGCCGAGCCGCGCCGAGCCGGAAAATACGGAAAAAACGAGGAGGGGGAGTCAAAAAAAAAAAAGGTTGACAACATCATCTTTTAGCGAGGGCGGCGGCCGGAGCGGTGGCGGTGGCGGCAGCAGGGAAAGAGGTCAAGAGCGATGTATTTCCATTTGCCGCCCCCGCGGGCCCGACGCAGTCCCCCGCGTGCAGCAAACACTCATTTCCCGGAGCCTCGACCATCCGTCATTGTCGGTCCTTCCCCCGTACTGGTACAGGGTACTCCCTCCCCCACACGAGAGAGTAACTTCAAATCCCCATTCCGCACACATTTTTATTTGTGTTTTTTTTCTCTCCTTTTTCTGGGGCTCACCTGCCTGCGTCACGAAAGCAGACCAAACACGGAATTCCACTGAGGACCGCTAACTGCTAACTACTAAAACTTTTTCTCTTCTACTTTTTTTTGTGTGTGTGGGGGGGGGGGCTCGGCTTGTATGTTTTATTTTGTCTTCGGTTTTCTGTAAAACTAATTTTTCAAGCTAACATTTTGATCAGGTCACTGTAACTTAATACTGAATAATCGACATTTACTTTATTTTAATAAAGACTTAGCCTAATTCTACTTAGGAATCGTCCTGAAAGTACGTTGGTTTTTCTCGGGTCTCGGATTCATTCGGCAAACTTACTAGAGCTCGGCGCCTGTGAGACTCCGGGTAGGCCACCCCGCAGCACTCGCACGCACTGCAGGCATTGCGCTGCCTACCGATCAGGCGCTTTTAGAGCTTGCAGAGGCTCACTGAGAGCTTAACTTAGCAGCGGTCCGTGGGCGAATGACGAGAACGAGACGGAGCACTTTCTGGATGATCTCTTATCCCCGAATAATTTCCAGTACAGCGTATGCTAGATTCATAACTTTAACTTGGAAGGCATGTGTTTTGTTTCTGTTACGAATAAAGCTTCTTTGTGTTGTGAGCCATAATTTTATAATTTTACAAAAAAAGAACAAACTGTCTCGCACATTGTGCCATATTTCCAAAACCGTATTCCGTTGCATTTAAAATATCCCCTTTATAGTTGCTCGCTGTGTGCGAGTGTGTGTGTGTGTGTGTTCCTTTTGCACCTCTCTACAAACCACAGCCTCCCACGAAACACTTTCCCACGCAATTAATTCCCCTTTTGTTAGGAAAAAGTCACTCTCCACCAAACACAAACACACACACACACACACACACACACTCGTACACACTCGTTGCGTCCGCTGGTTTTGTGCCCGATGCCATTAGTTCGCTAGTCCACTGCCAACAGCCACCCTTCCAAGCTCCCTTGCAGGTCCCCCTTGCAGGTCCCCCTTGCAGGTCCCTCCTTGCAGGTTCCCGCACCAATGCGCCACGATATGGCATTCAGTAAAAGTAATTACAGCAAAAGGCCTCACCTTTAGCGTGCCGGCCGCTGGTACGTGTATACACACACACACACACACACACACACACACACACACACACACACACACACACACACACACACACACACACACACAGTGGTGTCATAAGGGGTCGCACTTCAGTTGCGTGTGTTTTAATGGAGTCGGGCACTATTTTTTCTTCACATGACTTTCATTGGAACGTTGCTGGAAAATGTGCGGGTTTAGTACACTGCTACAAAATTCGCATCAACGTAGATAACTATTTTCACATGGGGTATCTCCACCCTAGCGTGTATAAAAAGCTGCGCTCCTCCTTAAAACCCAGTAAATTTCTAACTTGCAAACCAAACCCACCTAAATTAAAATGAAGTAATTTTCCCACGACCCCTCATAGACGCCAGAGAGGGACGCAGTTAAACAACGCGGTGCGTGCGACCGGGGTATGGGGCTGGAGGGGGGGGGGCAGTGCGCTGCGGTTAACTTAGGTGTGGTCGCGCCCGGGCGAGGCCTCCCGAGCCGACCACGCTGCTCTGTCCGGTGCCGGGTGGGGGGTGGGGTTGGGGTCGGGTCGGGTGTGCCTGTGGGCGTGAGGGTGGGTGCCCCGCGATGGCACACGCAGTCAGGTGAGCCCGACAAACAATATCCCCGACAACACCATGACCCCCTCCCCACCCGACCAAAACCCACGCAATCGCTGCTCGCCAACGGTCCATTGGGTTTTGCTCTTTTTGTCTTCCCTTTTTTTGCTGTTCTCCTTTTTTCCTGCCTCCTTGCTAGGTTTCTTTATGTACACTTGCTCAATTAGCAAGTAGTTTTCCTTCCCCTCTCTCTCTCTCTCTCTCTCTCTCTCTCTCTCTCTCTCTCTCTCTCACTCCTGTGCCCTTTCTTTACCCTCCCGCACGGCCCCCTCACCCTCCACACACACCTTTGAAAAATGAATGTGTTTGAGCGAGTTTATAGCAGCCGTGGGAATATTTTCGAGCCCCTCCCCCGGCTGGCCGTGGTGGAGTGGGTCGTGCGGGGTTGCGGTGTGGCCGGCGCAAATGATGACACATGTGGCCGTGTGTGTTGTTGCTCTCAGACATCCGGGAGGCGCACTCGCTGTCCCAGGTGTGCTCGCTGGTGGGCGTGGAGGGAGGCCACTCGCTGGGGAACTCCCTGGCCGTGCTGCGGATGCTGTACGACGTCGGCGTCCGCTACCTCACCCTCACGAGCACCTGCAACACACCCTGGTGAGTACCCACCTCGTAGCACAATCCCCGCTTATGTACCACCCAGTGATCCTCTTTCAGGTACAGTCATTTGTTTCCCCTTGCAACTGTCAAACATATCCCCGTAAATTTACGATATATTTCGTAATTCGCATTTACAAAATATGTTGTAGATTTATGACACCCCAATCTTGCTCGGAGATGAATTCCAAGTGGATACGTTGTGATATTTTAATTTTACAATTTTGAATTAAAACTTTACAACACACGCTTCATTATGAAAAAATTCTCCCGTAAAATAACCTTTAGTGTGTAAAATTAAATTATACTTTTACAGTCATTTCCTTACCCCGGTCTGCGACTGGAGCAGTAAGTTGCGAGTTGGTCGTTAGTGCCGCCGACTGGTGTCGGACACGATCGGAGAGATTCCTTCCTATCGCCACTCACTGCTTTGCGCTCTTTCCGCTCCTTTCTCTGTCGCTCCCTCTCTTCGCCAAACATAATTTCCTCGGCGATGACAGTGGATTATTCCTTTCCCCCTCCCCCCAATAAGCAGTCGTCTAATTAGTCTCTCTCTCTCTCTCTGTCTCTCCGCAGGGCCGACTCGGCGCAGGTGGAGGAGCCCGGCTTCAGCCCCGAGCACGGCGGACTCACCAACTTCGGCAGGGTGAGCGCAAAGGGAAAACCGAGAGGGGAACCGGAAGGGAACCGGGAGGGAACCGGGCGGGAACCGGGGCCCCATCGATGGCAAGAAATATGTCTCGCGGGGGTCTGGACTCGCCGTGTCCGCGCATATTCACACTCATCATCCGCACGCTCTCTCTTGCGATTGCTCTCTCTCTCTCTCTCT